TGCACCCAACACCAGAGCTCCCAGCTTTATAAAACAAATTCTAATAGACCTAAGAAAAGAGATATATGGCAATATAATAATCGTGGGAGACTTCAACACTCCATTGACAGCAACAGACAGATCATCAGGGCAAAAAAACCCTGGAGTTAAACTGGACCTAGACCAAATACCTAATAGACACCTATAGAACATTTCATCCCAAAACTGCAGAATACACATTTTTTTCATCAGCACATGGACATTCTCTAAGATATACCATGTGATAGGCCACAAATCAAGTTTCAATAAATTAGAAACAACTTATCAAGCACCTTCTCAGATCACGGTGGAATAAAACTAGAAACTAACTCCAAGAAGAACTCACAATACCAAACAAATACATGGAAATTAAACATTCTGCTCCTAAGTGATCTTCGGGTCAACAATGATATCAAGATGGAAATTTAAATTCCTTGAAACGAATGACAACAATGACACAAATTATCAAAACCTCTAGGACACAGCCAAAACTGTGCTCAGAGGAAAATTTATAAAACTTGAGGCCTTCATTAAAAAGACTGAAAGATCACATATTGACAACCCAATGTCATACCTCAAGGAACTAGAAAAACATGAACAAACAAAACCTAAAGTTAGCAGAAGAAAAGAAATAATAAAGATCAGAACAGAACTAAATGAAACAAACAAAACCAAAAAAGGATAAACAAAACAGAAAGTTTGTTCTTTGAAAAGATAAAACAAAAATTGATAAACCACTAGCTAGATTCATTAAGAAATGAAGAAAGAAGACTCTAATTGGCTCAATCAGAAATAAAAATGGAAATATTACAACTGATACCTTAGAAATACAAATGATCACCCAAGATTATTATGTACACCTCTATGCAAACTAACTAGACAATCTAGAAAGAATGAATAAATCTTGGAACATACAGACCCCCGAACCCTGAATCAAGAAGAAACAAACTCTGAACAGACCAATAACAAGTAGCAAGATTGAAAACAGTAATTAAAAGAATCCCGGGGAGGGGGCGACACCTCTTATCAACAAGGGTGCCTGATTGAAGCATATTTGTATACCTAGCCCTTAGCTGTACCCCACAACATCATAATAAAAAATATTGATTAAAAAAAGAATCCTAACCAAAAAAAAGGCCAGGCTTTTACAGACTTACAGCCGAATTCTACCAGACTTTCAAAGAAATCATACCAATCCTACTGAAGCTATTCCACAAGATTGAAAAGGAGAGAATTCTCCCTAACTCATTCTATAAAGTCAGTATCATCATAATACCAAAGCCAGAAAAAGTCACAACAAAAAAAGAAAACTACAGACCAATATCCCTGATAAACATAGATGCAAAAGTTCTCACAAAAATACTAGCAAACCACATTCAACAGCACATTAAAAATAATCTACCATGCTCAAGTAGGTTTTATCTCAGGAATACAATGATGGATACATATACAGGTCAATAAGCATGATCTACCACATAAACAGAATTAAAAACAAAAATCTTATTATAATTTCAATAGACACAGAAAAAGCATTTAATAAAATCCAGCCTCCCTTCATGATTAAAAAAAACCCTCAGCAAAATAGGAATAGAAGAAACATTCCTTAAAATAATAAAAGCTATATACAACAAACCCACAGCTAATGTCACCACGAATGGAGAAAAGTTGAACACATTCCCCCTCAGACTGGAACAGGGTAAGGATGCTCACTTTCACCACTCCATTCAACATACTACTGCAAGACCTAGCCAGAGCAATCAGGCAAGAGAAAGAAGAGTATCCAGATTAAAAAAGAAAAAATGAAACTATCTTTGTATGCGGACAATACGATCTTACACCAAGAAAACCCTTTAAAGACTCCTCCAAAAGACTTCTAGACTTAATAAATTCAATTTTCAAAGCTAAACATTATTTTATTATAGAGATGTGGGGTACAAGTAAGGATTAACTACAAAGTAGGCTGCATGAAGGCCCTCAACTGGCCCTCACTATCTTCCCCTCCCCCCACCCCCATCCATAGGACCAGGTACCCTTCTGTTGTTACATTCTTTCTTTCCCTCCCTCCCTCCCTCCCCAGCAGTGCCCTGTTGATCCCTCCCTTGTGCTAATGTGATTAATGTTCAGGTCTCACTTATGAGTGAGAACACATGGTATTCAGTTCTTTGTGATAGATCACTAAATATGATGGTCTCTAACTCCATCCAATTTCCTGTGAAGTCCATGATTTTGTTCTTTATGGCCACGTAATACTCCATTGTGTATATGTATCACATTTTCTTTATCCAGTCCACTTTTGATAGGCAGTAGGGTTGGCTCCATGTTTTTGCTATTGTGAATAGTGCAATAATGAACATGTGTGAGGAAGTATCTCTTTTGGAGAACAATTAATGTTCCTCCAGGTATTTTCCCAGGAGAGTGACTACTGGATTGCATGGAAGATCAATTGCCACACAGCTTTCCATAGAGGATGAACTAGTTTGCACTCCTACCAACAGTGTAGAAGCATTCCCTTTTCTCCACACCCACGCCAGTGTCTGTTATTTTTTGATTTATTAATGATGGCCAACCTCAGTGGAATTAGGTGGTATCTCAATGTAGTTTTGATTTGCATTTCTCTAGTGATTAGTGAAGCAGATAATTTTTCATGTATCTGCTGACTGTTATATGTCTTCTTTTGAAAAGTGCCTAATCGTATCCTTTGCCCACTTTTTAATGGGCAAAACCAGTCTAGTTTTTTTTTCTTTTACTTCACTTGAGTTTCTTATAGATTCTGAATGTTAGGCCTTTGTCAGATACATAAATTGCAAATGTTTTTTCCCATTCTGTGGGTTGTCTCTTTACTTTCTTGATGGTTTCTTTTGCTGTGCAAAAGCTTTTCAGTCTGATGAGGTCCCATGTGTCTATCTTAGCTTTTATGGCATTTGCTTTTGGGGACTTGGCCAAGAAATTTGTTGCCTTCTACAATGTGCATAAGGGTGTTTCCTATGTTTTCTTCTAGAATTCTTATAGTTTGAGGTTTTATGTTTAGGTCTTTGGTCCATTTTAAGTTGATTTTTGTATATGGTGATAGGTAGGAGTCAAGTTGCATTCTTCTGCATGTGGTCAGCCCATTTTCCCAGAACCATTTGCTAAACATGGTCTTCTTTCCCAGTGGTTGTTATTGGTGGCTTCATCAAAGATGAGTTGGTTGAGAGACCAAAAGACTCTTGGACTTGATAAATGAATTCAGTAAAGTTTCAGGATACAAAATCAACACACACAAATCAGTAGCACTGCTATACACCAATAGCCACCAAGCTAAGAATCAAATCAAGAACTCAATTCCATTTACAATAGCAACCAAAATCCTAAAATACCTAAGAATATACTTACCAAGGAGGTAAAAGAGTTCTACAAAGAAAACTACAAAACACTGATGACAGAAACTGCAGAAGACACAAACATATGGAAAAACATCCCATGCTCATGGTAGAATCAACACTGTTAAAATGACCATATTACCCAAAGTAACCTACAGATTCAACACAATCCCTATCAAACTACCAATGTCATTTTTCACAGAATTAGAAAAAACAATCCTAAAATTCGTATGGATGTGTGGGTTCATAAAAAGTCAGGGAAACACAATCTAAAACACTGAGATACTATTTTCGACCATCATGTTGGCAAAAATGTATATGATTGGTAATATCAGTTGTTTATAAAAAATTGTGCAGTTTTTTTTTTTTTTTTTTTTAAATCAAGGGTCTCACTCTGTTCCCCAGGCTGGAGTGCAGTGGCATGATCATGGTTCACCGCAGCCTCAACACTGCAGGCCCAGGCGGTTCCTCCGCCTCAGCCTCCTGAGTAGTTTATAAGAAACTGAATAAAATATAAGTACTGTGAGTGCAAGAACCTTATAGTCTAGTTTGCTTCTAAATTCTCCAAGTCTAGAACAATGACTGGCATGTAATATTTGTGAAAGTAAAAAAGGAAAGTTGGGGCAAGAATTCCTCTTTTGAAGAGGAATTTAGTAACTTGTATATCCAAGTTAAACAGCAATTCATGTTTTTCATTATCTTCCTTAAAAACAACACTGACATGAATACACAATATATGACAAAACTACTGCATTGCAGCACTGTTTGTAACAGCAAAAACTAACTTGTAAATAACATACGCTGTGATCAAGAGGGGAATGGTTAAATAAACCACATCTCTTCAATGCCATGGAATAATATGAAGCACTTGAAATGAAGTAGCTCTACATTTAAAGACATGAAAAGATCTTCAAGACATATTAAACAAAAGTTAAACAAAGAGTTGCATACTAATGCACATATTTAAAATTGCACACTAATGCACATATTTAAAAACAAAAGTAAAAAGTTCATAAAACTAGGTATCGATGTATGAATGCGTAGGAACAGGTCTAAGAAACATAACCAAGCTAATAATAGTGGTTAGCTATGTCAAGAGATGAGAGCTGAAGTAGTAGCTGGTGGCTTTCACTTTTTCTAGATTGAAATTTTCATAATAAAATGTATTTAGATCTTACTAAAGCAAAAACAAACCAACAAAACCTCCTGTTGCTGCTGTTGTTGAGTTGTTGCTGTTTTACACCCTAATGGTGTACATTGGCTTTAAGCTGTATTTCTGAACAGATAAAAACTAAACATATAAATGAAGGATTTTTACTGTTGTTCTTTCCCCACCATATTTTTGGATTTTGTTTTTCAAACCTCTGAGTATTCACCACTCAGCTTAAGAAATAATAGATCACCTTATATAGGATGAACTATTATGCTACCTATTTAAACTTCAAAACATTTCTCAGTTTCAGAAGTGACAAACCTAAAAGCCCCAAAAGTTATTTAGACTTCATATCTTAAATCTTTAAATAAAGCCTTTTTTTTTTTTTTTTTTACATAGCAACTATTTCCTACTAGGATGAAGTATATAAACAATAGGAGAAATTAAAATGAAAAGAGCTAGTGCCCTACCTGGGTCACTGGAATGTAGAGCGGTTCTCCATTATGCAGCAGTGTAAGTTTCCCATGCTGGTAGAGCCGTCCTTCCGGCTTTAAATTTGCCATCTCCTTAGGTCCTCCTTTCTTGCCACTCTCTTGTCCATTTCCTTTAAATTCTTCAGTATCACTTAGGCATTCAAAAAATTCTTCTTCACTGTCACTCCAGGAATCCCAAGATTTTCCCACCTCTCCCTTTTCCTTATCTGTATCTTTTAGATTATCTGGCCCCAACTGGTCTCCACCTTTTCCAGCATCCCCCAGATATGTATTAGTGACATTATCTGAAGTACTTGTCCTTTTCCCTTCATCACGTGCCTTCTTTCTTTCAATACAACAATTCAGCATCTTAAGAAAACAGAAATAATATTTATAGTTGAATTAGCTGCAGAAAAATAAAAATCTATCTGCCACTTGAATATTTAATTTTCATTCTCCACTTCTCAGGATTTTGTAAATTATGGCGACTATAAGAAATCTACAACAGCATGATAATAGTCTATAATCCACTATTACATTTAGCATTAAAATAATCTTTGATTAAATCAATACCACATTTATATGTGTCATTGGGAAATCTTTACCTGTAGTTTCTGATGCAGTAAACAACACCTAAGATCTGGGGGTCCACTTGCTAATCTATCAAATAAAGTAAGGAGAAAAAAAGCTTAGTTTTAGTAAAACTGCTTTATATATGATTATTTTCTATACTATCATAACTTTTTGCTATATTGATAAGACATCAAAACTGGATTTCTATAGGTAAGGTAACTGAGTTCCAGAAGAGGAACTAATATAATTATAAAGACGAAAATTGGCTGGGTGTGATGCATCATGCCTATAATCCCAGCACTTTCGGGGGCCAAGGTCAGAGGATTGCCTGAGCCCATGGGTTCAAGACAGGCCTGGGCAACTTGGTGAGACTCATCTCTACAATAAAAATAAAAAATAAATTAGCCAGGCATGGTGGAGTGTGCCTCTAGCTCCAGCTATTTGGAAGGCTGAGGTGGAAGGATCACTTGAGCCCAGCTGGTCAAGGCTTTGATGGCTGTGAGCGTGCCACTGCACTCCAGCCTGGGTGACACAGTGAGACTCAAACTCAAAAAAAAAAAATGAAAATTTTATACTACTAGTCCACAAATTACCAAAAGCAAATATAATAGATACACCAAACATAGCAGCAAATCTGTGATACTTTCCAGACTAAGAAACTTAAAATGAGAAAAAAAAATCACTAAATCCGCCCCAGGAAGTAGCTAGTATACAGTATTTCACACCATACCAAATAAATCAGTCTATGTCTTCAGTACTAAATTCTTATAGCGGATTCTCACTATAAAAATCAAGATGTCCACTTCTATTTCAATGGGACCCAGACTGCCTCTAGTTCTAGACCACTACGTTCTCCACAATCAGCTGGAGATACTCCTTCATATTCAAAATGCTTCCAGAGCAAACTGGTTAGAACCAAGAGAGAATTCAGTTGAGGAGAGACAAGCAAATGACATAACAATAAATGTTTTTGGATGAATCATCATTTTATATTGCCTATAATAATGACTCTCCACCTGGTGTGGTGGCTCAAGCCTGTAATTCCAGCAATTTGGAAGGTGGAGGTGAGAGGAATGCCTGAACCCAGGGGTTCAAGACCAGTCTGGGCAACTTGGCAACACCTCGTCTCTACAATAAATCAAAAAATTAGCCAGGTGTGGTAACACATGCATGGAGTTCCAGCTACTTGGAAGGCTGCGGCAGAAGGATTGCCTAAGCCCAGCAGGTTGAGGCTGCAATGGCCGTGAGCGTGCCACTGCACTCCAGCCTGGATGACAGAGTGAGACTCCAACTCAAAAAAAAAAAAAAAAAATGACTCTTCTATCTTAGCATGGGTAACTGACCACTAAACTACACAATATCAACAGCCTGGGCAACTTAGTGAAACTTAGTTTTTTTATATCTACAAGAAATAAAAAAACTAGCTGGGTATGGTGGCACCCTGCTACTCAGGAGGCTGATGCAGAAGAATTACCTGAGCCCAGGAGGTTGAGGTTATAGCAAGCCGAAATCGTGCCACTGCACTACAGCCTGGGCAAAAGTGAGTCTCTGACACATACTCATGCATGCGCATGCGCGCATACACACAAACACTCACACAATGCTTACTAAAATCTGTTTTATAATCAAATGAAATGGCAATTATAAAGCACACATTTATTACAGAAGACTTAAAAAATACAAGAAAGTATAAAGAACAAAATAAAAATATAATTTCACACCTCAGAAAACTGTAAGCATTTGGCTATACTTCTTTTCAATCTTTTCTCTATACATATACATCAGCATAATTAAAAGTACTATATATATGCATTACTATAGTCCACCTTGTGACAAACATTATGAACATTTTCTGTCATTAAAGATTCTTGGAAAAAATCTGTAATAAATCCATAATTTTCCACTGTAGAGATATAGCATAATTGATTTACCTATTCTTTTATGTTTCATATTTAGGTTGTTTTGCCTTTTTTTTCCTATTATAAATTTGCTGTAGGGAACAATTTTGAACATAAATCATACCTAATCTTCTTACCACTTTCTTAGGGCAAATTTCCTAGGAGGGGACACTTAATGGGACAAAAGTCAAATGCCTGCTAACAAACAAAAATTCTATCTAAACAGCTGAAAACTGAAATTATTACCCTGGAATCAGGAAGTTGTTTTCCCATCTGAAACGCATTTCAAGAACAAATTCCTGCCAAAGGTGTGCCACTCCTTTCAACCCTCCATGGTAGAAATTGATCATACAAAGGCACAAAGCCAATTTGTATGTTAAACTGTCAGATGGTGCAGATTTGAATTGATTGTAGAGATTCTAAATTTAACAAAATAGAAACAAAGCAAAACTTGTTAGCAACATATACTCAAAAAGTGTGTAGGAAGAGATTTTAATACTAAAATTAACCTGTCCTATCAAAACTTTTCATCAAATGTCTAATACAGTACGGCATGAATTGTTTTTAGGCAGTTCCATGTTTTCAAAATTTCTACTAAGATTTTAAGAAATGAAGCCATAGCTTAATGAGGTTAAAGTTATAGCTTTCAATCCTTCTGTGGAATCTTTAAGATGTATGCCAAATTTCATGTGTTGTTTTAAAAATCTTCCAATTACAATTACAAAATGAGTACATACTTGTTGTCAAAAGAAAAAACAGGCTAGGCACAGTCATCATGCCTAGCATCCCAGTGCTTTGGGAGGCTGAATTGGGAGGATTGCTTGAACCCAGGAGTTTAAGACCATCTCTACAAAAATTAATACTATTAGCCAGGTGTGGCGGCAGTCCTAGCTACTCAGGAGGCTGAGACGAGAGGATCCTTTTAGAGCCCAGAGTTTGGTGCTACAGTGAGCTATGATCACACCACTATACTCCACCAGCCTGGGGAACAAAGTGAGACCTCATCTCTAAAAAAATCACTTTTTTGAATTAAAAAAATCAAATCAGAATTGTACAAATTTAAAATGTAAAGCCTCTGCTTTTCTCCCTCACTTCACGAAATCTATTTAACAATAACTACTGTAAACAGCTTGACATATCTCTCTACATCTGTTATTTAAACTCTCTTATTTCTTACTTTCTCAAAGCCTGGACAAGGAGAACATGAAAATTATATCTCATTTTACTTCATTAAAGAGTTTTCCACTCACTAACTAGCTTTTAAATATAGAGAAGAATCCGCTGCAAAACATAATGATTTCACAAAAACTCTACAATGAGTGATATCCTACATGCATACTATTATGCTATTTATGCTATATTTTCATTGTTTCCAGAAAAACTCTTGCTACTCAAAATATGTAGCTATGCCAATGTTCTGCACCAGGTCATGAGTGAGACCACGATCTCCATTCAATATTCCAAAGGTGATCTCTAAAATAAAAAGATATTAGGCTAGTAAACTAGAAATATAACAAACCTCTAGAAATTCAGCATTTAAACAACTTTAATATCAAACTCCAAATCAACTTACATAGTCTTCGCTCTCTGATGGAGGATTATTATTGTCTGTTGAAGTAGTTCCATCTAATGGTTTCTCAGAAGCAGCATCGGGGAATAAGAACTTGGGAAGAAAGAAAGTCAATCACATTTTAGACCATATTTCCTATTTTGTTGATTTTTATAAATCAGACAGACAGTATGTAACTCTGTAATGGTTTTGCTGCCTAAACAATTAGAAGTGTTCAATTATATCAAGCAGTTGGTTCTAAATGCTCTCAAATTTTTTCTTTAAAAATACACAGAGAGACGGGGCAAGATGGCGACGGCATAGGTGAACTGGTGAGATTCTCTGAACGGACCAAGACTGCAAACTGCTGAATAGACAGACTGTAAAGCAGAGGGAAAAGTGAACAAAACCAGAAGACCCTCATAAGGAAGAACAGGTCATTGCAGAAGAGAAATAAAAGCAACCCCATCTTCCCTCAAAAACAGAATTGAAGAGGGGGAGGGAAAGGGGTAAAGGGAGAAAAATCTACAGAAATGAAGAAAAACCAAAAGAAGAGTATGGGTCTCTCCCAGACGCCGCCTGGGAGAGCAGACACTGAGAAAATTGACTTTGGAATACAAACAATGAAAAGTCCCCAGAATGAAGGGTCTCAAAATGCAAATGTAGACATCAAAACAATAATGGAGAGACTAAAAAGAATTGAGGAGACACAAGAAGAAACTAGGAAGGAGCTGATCTCTGAGATAACAGTAAGTTAGATACTGTGAATGAAATAAATAACAAATTGATAAGCATGAAAG